GTTTGTTTTCAGATTGGTAGGCCAAGCGGCTTCAAATCAGATAGCTAGTGGATTAGATGCATTGAATCTCAACCAGAAGAATCCAGAATTGATGAGCGGTATGATCTTTATCATTTATGAGTTGTTTCACTATGCCGCGCTGATGTAGCCGAGGTACGCGGTCCAGACTGTTACTTGTTGAGAGATAGATGACGTCTCATTACGTCATAGTACCCGCTAGTGGCAATTTTTGAAACGTCATTGACAGTTGTATGGTGTGACTGGTCACCTCATTAATGTGCCGGATGAACTGTCACCTAACTCTCAACGAAGAAACGTGCTGTACTACATCTGCATTAGCAGACTAACAGATTTTCGCTGCGGACGCTCGAGGTCAAGGGGAGCGGTGGCTTTAGCGCGGCGCTAGTTAGTGCCCACCAGTTGGTATCGCTTCCTCACTCAGACAGTTGGTGGAGAACCCAACCTTCACTTACACGCTCCAGCCTCTGCGACGAAACTATTGCAGTTTGTTCTTAATGGTTCTTACTGATTGTGAGTAGGAAGTAGTGCATTAGAACGATTCTGTTTCAGCTGCCTGGAACGCATTCTTCAAAACGCTGAGCAGCGGTACTGCTGCAGCACAGCCACGCAAGCAGCACTGGTGATCCTACGTGAAGTCAAATTAGTTCAACGAGTCACCTGTTATGTCTTCTAATCTATTACTTTGTTTGTTCTCCACAGTCTGTGCTTATTCGTGAAGTTAATGTTTACACAAATGTACCAAGAAGTGTGAAGTTTTTGTGTTGTGATGAATCTCCTCGAATATTTCCTAATAAATTTTTCTTAATGTTTCTGTTAAAGAGTGTCATACTGTAGGAAGCAACCTGCAAATATTTGAAATGCATCTACTTCAGGCACTGTACAGCACTACTGTGGGATCCTTAGGCATTGTTCACAGTCTGCGGTCCAGCGTTTCTCTGGAAACGCGGCGGTTCGGCGAAAAGCTTTCGATACGTATCGACTGGCGGTTGGGCGAAGAGCCTGGCGGTTGGGCGAAAGGGTTTTGATACGAATCGACGGGCGTTTCGCCAAACCGCGACGTTTTTCGCCTTCGATGAAACGCTAGCTCGAAAAAAAAATTCGATACGCATTTATTGCTTTTCGCCCAACCGCCGAACCGCGGCGGTTCGGCGAAACTAGCGGTTGGCGATTCTCCGATCGATGACTATTTTTTGCTTTTCTCCCAACCGCCGTTTCGTCAGGGTCGCAGACTGTGAACAATGCCTTGGCCGGCATCGTATTGCGTCGTATTTTTCAAGATTTCTGTGATAAAACAGCTTAAATTTACATAGTTTCTGTAAATGGAAGTAAGAGCGCGTTCAGACTTCGCGATCGCGCGATCCGGATCGCGCGATCGCGATCGCGCGATCGCGCTACTGTGGGTGAAATTACACCGGGAGGGGGTCATGTTCGTTCATGTTTATTGTTCCTGTTCTTTTTTCCTTTTCCTTCTTTCTTCCTTTGTGTACATAACGCCCTCCTAATTTTAAGGAACGTTTCGAAATATCTTTGAGTTATTTATTATTTCCTATGTAAAATAGTACTAAATATACAATATGCTAATTATTATACTGAATTTTGCATCTGAGTACGTTCAAGCGGAGTATTGAACATCTTGTTCCAAAAGTAAGACACGCAGAACTTTCAACAGCGGGTGATGTTGTTTCTCTCCCTTCCCCCGATTTTGCCAGTCCTCCAGATATTCACTTTACTTTTGTCACATTGTGTTTGCTTTGTTTGTTCTGCCATCCTCCAGGTCTATACACAACCTTTCCTTTCGACGGTTTCTGCAAACGTCAGTATTGCGAATATGAACACGGAATAAAAGACATCAAAAAAGGTCGAACTACTTTTATATCGTTTTTGGAACTGCCTATTGGAGGCAGGATACAGCATCGTGATGTGAGAAATGGTGATATCAGTACGACTCCCCAGAACTTTGTTGCTGTTGTTTGTTGAGTTGAGTTGAACATGAACGAACATGACCCCCTCCCGTAATTTCACCCACAGTAGCGCGATCGCGATCGCGCGATCGCGAAGTCTGAACGCGCTCAAACCAAGCCTTCTGCCCATTCGGATCTGGCCAACTGATGTCAGATTTCGATAGGAGGAGACAGCGCCGTACATAGGCCGGTTGTTGGATTGTCCAAATTGCTTTCAAAGGGGTTTCACGACAGTGAATGAATACGTGGCTGGTCCCAGAGCAAAACTGACGAGCATTAAAAACTATCATTCATACTTCCATAGAAATGACTCAGTACAGTAGTTGCTGGAAACTTTGTCTTTTCTTTTACTTGTTATTGACGCAACTTGTGGTTACCTATCAAATAGATTACCACCAACAACAGTCTTTTTAATACTTCCACCGGAGTCGAGTTTCCCTGATAAGGGTTCGTTCAAGAGCACATATGATAACCTTAGTGAATCAAGGTCCAAAATTCATAGATCAATAATTGGATAAGAGGTAGGCCTTGGAAGGACCTTAAAATCAATGTGAAGGCGCCGCAGACAGTTGGGTACTGTTCCGCCGCGCCTTTCTCCAGCTGATCACACAGTCTGATTACTCGTTCAGTTCGGCGTGCGGAGTCAGCTATGCTGGCCGTTGTCTACGAAACCACGAAAAAGTGCTAGGGGACGGGGACAACCAGTTCAGATTTATTAGCTAAACAATCATGCAGGGATGTGTGCTATCGCAAAATACCGCGGTGGTGTGCGTGGTGGGCGATACCGTGCCCGCGAGACGATTTGTCCTGCGGTAATTTGAATTCGAGCATTGAATAACGGGGAAATTTGATATCGTCCGTCATGAAGTTTTGTCACCCTTTGAAATCGTATTAGTTTCCCTGCTCCAGCCGACAATATGATGCACATCGAGGATTCGCCGCGACAAAGTACGATTCCGTTGCCGGTCTGCCGTCATCCAGGGCACCGCAAAGTTCACTTTTTCCCCACAATTTTAGTTGTGCACGTCATTGACTGTTTCGATACTTACCGGGTTCTAACAAGGGAATGGTTTGAACTTCCCATGGAACTTTGAATGGAGACCTAGGTACATCGATAGAGCCTCGAATGCTGATTACGAATATGCAGATTAAAAGTGCTACGGGGACCTCCCAGACGAGATCTGGGTGGTCAAAGTTTGCGAGTCAGTTTTGGCTCGTAAGCGCTGCTGATCGATGTCTCGGCAGTGCCACCGTGGCCTCGTGGTAAGGGTCTGCAAACGCGCGGGTTTTTGCATCCGGTTGGCGCGAAAATTTTTGCTTCGCTCCCTATAAGAGCTTCAACTCTAATTTTCGAAATTCTTCCGAATTTACGGCCCAGCAGGGCAAGTAGATCAAGTACATCAAGTATACGACGTACTCGATCTAGTATGGATTTGGTCATATCTGCCCTCCTGAACATATTACTCATCCCAATTCAAAGTTTTGGCGAGAAAGAAGACTCCTACCCCCTGAACACGAATATCACATCCTTCGACGAAAAAACGCTCGTCTGGCCAAATTGCGATTCTGGGCAAAACTTTGAATTGTCGGATGGGTAATATGTTCAGAGAGGGCAGATATGACCAAATCCATACTAGATCGAGTACGTCATATACTTGATCTACTTGCCCTGCTGGGCCGTAAACTCGGAAGAATTTCGAAAATTAGAGTTAAAGCTCTTATAGGGAGCGAAGCAAAAATTTTCGCGCCAACCGGATGCAAACCCGCGTGCGTTTGACTTGAAAGCGAGACCATTACCACGAGGCCACGGTGGCACTGCCGAGGCATCGATCAGCAGCGCTTACGAGCCAAAACTGACTTTTCGCAAACTTTGACCACCCAGATCTCGTCTGGGAGGTCCCCGTAGCACTTTTAATCTGCATATTCGTAATCAGCATTCGAGGCTCTATCGATGTACCTAGGTCTCCATTCGAAAGTTCCATGGGAAGTTCAAACCATTCCCTTGTAAGTAATCAGGGATTAATGACGTAGTTCTACCGATTGAGCAGATGCATGGCAGGCTAGTTCTTACTAATTGTTTCTTTATGGGATGATTCTCTCTCCTCCCTCCCCCCGCAATATATTTTTCCATTTCTACTATTTGCAACTATATACAGTACTGTTGTTTTGCTGGCCATTACTGATACTTTCGCTAATGGCTCAAAGAATCAATAGCCTTTTGAAGTGCAAGTGAGCAAAAAGGTGGTGTGAGACGAGGGAGTGGAGGAGGGGGGGGGGCAGAAAGGCAGAAAAATCCTCTTCACTCATGAAGCCTGTTTACCTCAGGTGTTCTTCTAAAGCTCCTTCAGCACTGACAACTAGTTAAGAGTAAACTCTGTAAATTTACATCGGATGTCGGTTGAAATATGTCCTATGACCGTCCGAATGGTGTAGAAGTGTATTAGCGGAGAAATTATCCAAATTAGCCTTGA